AACAGCCGCGCCAACAATGGAAGTGGAGAACATAGTCCACTCAGACTCGATGTCTCCAGCCTCCCTCGGGACCTGTTCAAAGCTCTCCCGGAGGTGGGAGTTGAAGGCCCCCCTCACCGGGGATTCCGCCAGACGTTCCCAACAGACCCTCACGATACGTTTGGGTCTGCCAGGTCTATCCAGCTTTGCCACCCGTAAGCGGAGCCAACTCACCACCAGATGGTGATCAGTTGACAGCTCAGCCCTTCTCTTCACCCTAGTGTCCAATACATACGGCCAGATGTCAGATGACACAACTACAAAGTCGATCATTGACCTCCGGCCTAGGGTGTCCTGGTGCCAAGTGCACTGATGGACACCCTTATGCTTGAACATGGTGTTTGTAATGGACAAACTGTGACCAGCACAGAAGTCCAATAACAAAACACCACTCGGATTTAGATCGGGGAGGCCGTTCTTCCCAATCACGACCCTCCAGGTGTCATTGTCGCTGCCCATGTGGGCATTGAAGTCCCCCAACAGGATGATGGAATCCCCGGGAGGAGCACTGTCCAGTAGCCCTCCCAGTGCCTGCAAGAAGGCCGGGTATTCTACACTGCTATTCAGCCCGTAGGCCGAAACAACAGTGAGACACCTATCCCTGACCCGAAAGCGCAGGGAAGCGACCCTCTTGCTTAGTGGGAGAACTCCAAGGACCCGGCCACCAGGCGCTCGCCTGCGAGACCCAACCCCGGGCCTGTCTCCAGGGTGGGGCCCCGGTGACGTCAATCCGGGCGATGTGGACCTCGGGGGGGTTGAACCACTATTTGTCTGATCCGTCGCCTAAGACCTATTTGCCTTGGGAGACCCTACCAGGGGCATTAAGCCCCCAAGAACATAGCTCCTAGGTTCACTCGGATACTCAAACCCCTCCACCACGTTAAGGTTGCGGTTCAAGGAGGGGACTTATTTTGCTAGAGGGGCCCAAATCCAATAATGTACAAAACTTCTTCTGTGGTGCACAAGACTATAATTAAGTCATTAACTAAAGTAGTGCATTTCAACACTTTTACATTTTTATTCAAAACTACCATGTTTTTAGGAAACTAATTAACGTGTTTTTTCTCTTTATCATTTTACTCAAAGAATAATGTAAAAACCCAAATATTCAATCAGGAATTTAAAAAAATGATTACAATTATTTTTACCTGAAATATTGAAATTTAGAGAACCAAAAATAAAGCTATTTCAAATTATCCTGAAAAATTAACAGTTAAAATGTGTTTGAAATGTTACCAAGAGATCACTAATATTAAAAAGTAAAAGTCAGAATAAAAAGCAAAAATAGCTAAATGTTAACTAATAGGATAAAGCTAAATGATAGCTTTTCTTTAATGACCATAAAAATGGATAAGTTCCATTTTTCATGGCGATTAAAAAAAAAACACTGATTGCAGGACATCTAAACCTGACCAAATCACATGACCGGTCCTGGAGTCAGACTTTGGACACCTCCGACACGTTGAGTTTTTTTAGGTTGTGTCTATCATCTCACTTAAAGACAATCGTACATTTGAGTGAGGTGTTGATGTTGTTGCTGCAGTTTGTGGAAATGAAAATTTCTGCCCTTAGCAGGAGACTCACCTGGGGCCTCGATAAGCTGTTTGTAGATTCCAAGAAAGGCAGACTCTGCCTCCTTACTGCGCTTGTTCAGAGCAACCACCTGCAGGGGAGGAGACACCATTAGAGTAAACACTGATTCATTCACAGCTGTTGACTTTTAGAACTCGTCTAAAAGAACACATCAATTTTAAAATGCCAGAAAAATCAAATTGATGCTTTTAAACAAAGCAGGACCTGCTTAAAAATCTTAAGCAGCTAACAGCAGGCCGATAGCAACATGTGCAAAGGTCAGTCTCACAATGCTCTGTCAATAAATAAAACAAACACTTCAGTGTAGGTTCTGAATCAGAAAATGTGCAGTTTTTTCACTGTGCATATAAAAAAAACAAAAAACAATTACTTTTTCCATTTAGGATTTAACCTGTTGTGACACATCATTTGGTCTGGTAAATGTAGGTAGCATCCTTCACAGAGAGGTCAGCCGGTGACATTGGCCCTGATCCGCAGCAGCACATGGCACCTGTTTTCCACAGCTCAGTGGGTGATGCAAACCAATTAACAATTCATTAGGAACGACAAAGAAAGTGAATTAGTGACTACCTGGCCCCATGGAGAGGACACCTGCACTGGTGAGTATGTGGGTTATACTGCTACCAGGTCCCATTCAAATCTATGGCCTGTTTTAGCATCCTAGCCTAAGGTTACTTTAGTGTGGAAAAATTCATGATCTCTATGAACTAGCTAAAGACTAAAGACAAGAGCCATGCTAATCCAACTTCAGCTTGGTGAATGTCTCACACTGACTGGATCATCCTCGTCCTCATCCTTTTTGTCTTTTGGTGGCGAAATACGGATTTGAAACTGACGTTGCCTCCGAGCATATTTTTACTTATTTCTTTTTTTTTTTAGCTGGTGTTGTGATAAAGGATACAGTTACCCAGGGAATGGGCTCGGCCACAGGTTGATTTTACAATCAGAAGTGAAGCCTGCGGCAGAGTAGGGTGAAAGGAAAGACAAAGAAAACCTGTTAACGCTCCTCCATAACTCTTCATGCTGCAACAGAGTGGGCAGAGCACAGCTTCTGGGACAAGGATGCTGGGAAATACTTACAGATAAGCCTTTGAGAATACAGTACTCGGTAGTGAGTCTCTGGGTGTGTGTGCATCCAAGTGTGTGTGTTCCAAAGAGAAGAAGTTAACATGTGTTGAGGAGAGGGAAATGTTGGAAGAATTTAATTTATCATCATTGCTTCATGCTGTACTGTCGCTTTAAGAAACGGTTTGCTTCTCATATTATAATCCAGTGTGCTCAAGA